TTGGGATAAATGGGCTTTTGTGTTCTCCAAAACTTGGTTTTTTTTTTTTTTTTTTTTTTTTTGTGTGTTTTGTCTTGTCTTTCCATGTCTGTATCGTTTTTGTGTCCGGCCTCGTGTTGCGCAATCTGCTCCCTCAACCATTTGGGTCTTGTCCAGGTCTTTCTTGTTGCCTTGGATTTCACTTTGCTGGTGTTTTCTTTCGGTCTTTGTCGGTTTTTTGTTTGTGTGAGCTGTCCAAGATCCAAACACCTTGTCTGTTTTGTTCTTTCGGAAAAATAAACACCCCTAACCATATGCCTGCAAATTGCGGCGGCCCGGGGGTGTTAATTGACTCAATAGTGAATGGAAAGCCTCTTAGGTTGGAAAACCAATCTCCAAAAATTGATTAACGTTGGAATATTGGAACAATATTAATGGCGTACATCAACAAATGTCAAATGCCACCGGATCACGAACATGGACGCGCACAACGTTGTGGAGTGAGCATGTCAGAGTCGACAACTAATCGACATTTAGGATCGATTACCTTGACTGCAATTATTCAAAGAAACACCTTTCTGCCACTGGCAATAAAAATCGAGCATTACCGCAGCGGAGGGAGAAAACGTGTTCTTTTAACGCACAGTCAAAAGGAGATTTTGTCTATCGCCGGTTCACTTTCGCGCTGCTCTAATATGGCTTTGGCCTGCTGAATTCCAAGAGCAAAAAAAAAAAAGTTGACCCCTGGTATCGTCGGGTGGCTAAAGCTGGCTGCCTGGTGGGGTGGCTGACTGCGGGCGGGCCTGTGAAATGGCAGGGCTTAAATGTAAGCTGATGCCCGACAGATGGACGCCAAAGCCCTAATCCTGGCCAAGAAGCCGGTTGGTGCAACAAGGTGCAGAACTCCAACGGCGGCCAGCTGTTGTCCTGAAAACGACGACGTGCGCCCTCGTGCCAGTCAGCGTGTTGGCCTGAACTTCACCTCGCAACGGGCTTGACTTCCAGTGCAGGTGCAGGTGCTCGGCTTGCTAATGCCGATTGCCTTCAAATGCCTCTTCGGAGGGCTTGGAGGCAAGCATATTTGCATCGCACAGTTCAAAGCGCTTTGTATAAAATGATAAAATAATTACGGAAAGAGAAACAAAATATTAAGACATTGGAAAAAAAAATCATAATAGAATCAAGTAATTAGATGATTAAAACCAAGTGTCAATTCAACCTCGGGGGTCCGGCTGCGTCATAGGGCGCCGCGTCTTGCATCCACTGCAAGATGCTTGATTGATTTTTTTTTTTTTTTTTGAGAGCAGTTAAGACACCATTCCGGTAGTCTAGTCTACTGAAAATAAAA